AGGGAGGGAGGGAGAGAGAGAGAGAGAGAGAGAGAGAGAGAGAGAGAAGGGGGGCGGGGGGGGGCATCAGGAGCAGCATCACTAGTCCTCGTAGTCCATCATGAAATAAACTCAAAGGTCCACCACAGCCTCCAGCCTCCACCTCCACCCGCGAGCCGCCACCGCTGCCGCCCGCGACGCCGCCCGCCGCGTCAGATTGCCACGACGCGCGCATCGAGTCGCGTCGGAGAGCCGCGCCGCACCAGCAGCAGCATCTGCACCAGAGAGAGGTAGGTAGGTAGAAAGGTGAAGAACAGCCAGGCTCGGACTGGACACCAACGCGGTATGGGTGGACGCTGGACAGATGATGACGACACGCACGAGCGACACACAGACACAAACAGGCTCACAAGACACACAGCCAGCTGGCTGCCACACACCCTGAGTCGGCGTACACATAACTCAGGGCCACATCCTCCCTGTCGCCCCCCCCAGCACTCCACGGTGCCAAGGGCACAAACAAGGGCACAACTACTGGGGGGCTGTACACTCTCTGAGGCCTCAGACCCCCCTCTGAGGACGGGTCGGACCCCTGCCTTGGCGGCACAGAGGGTTTGACTCTGACTCTGTGCCGCCTCTATGGCCTCTCTTGGCTGCTTTTGGCCTCAGAGGGTCCCTGGCTGATGGTCCGTCTTGGCGCGGCACAGAGGGCTTTGACCTCAGAGGGTGGGGGGTGGCCCCCCCTCACGGCAGAGGCGAGAGCCCCGGGCGGAGGCGGAGCTGCCTAGCCCTCCACGAACGGCGCTGACCAGTGAGGGCGGGGAGGGGCGGGGTAGTAAAACATTACGACTTTTCACAGCGCCTCCGGAAAGGAACAGCTTTGCTTTGCTGACGTCGATCGACTGCGTCGGATCCACGCCAAGCAGCTTGGTCGCGGCCGCCGCAACGAGCTCTGACTCCGTTTTGACGCCCGCCTCGGCGCCGATCGAAAGCGTGGCACCGCCCTCCACACCGTTGACCCGGACTCTGATGCGCATCTTGGGTGCCTCGCCACAGCTGGGGCGCCTCGCGCAGAGTAGAGAAGAGACAGATTCTACAGTTCCGTCAACTCCCGCGCACAAATTCTTTTTCTGTGGTTGAGAGAGACTTGAAATGCCACCCCTCTGAGGAGCGGCCTCGCGGGGCTTGCCTTGGCGTCTCAGAGGGTCCCCGTAGCCTCAGAGGCTGCGCCGAGAGAGGCTGGCTTGGCGGCACAGGCCTTCAGAGGGTCGGCCCAGGCACCCTCTGAGCCGCTCGTGGATGGCCTCTCTTGGCACAGAGGGTACCCTCTGAGACGAGCAGATCTGGGCCCCCTTGCCTCAGACCCCCCCCCTCTGATACAACCCCCCAGTGCACAACTCAGAGAGAGTTGGGTTGTCTAATTCTTCTTTTTCTTGTACCCCTCTTGACGGCCGGGGGTGGTCAGCTGCCTCTCCCGCCCGATCACATCGGCTCCGATCTGATCTGATGCTGAGTGTCCAGTCCGACAATCAGCAGCCGCAATTCGTCGCGCTTCGCCGCCTCGCGTGTGCCGGCACCACGGCTGCCATTGCCGCCGCCGCGACCAACCCTGTGGAGGTGATCCGAGTTCGCTTTCAGCTTGAATCGGCTGCGACACGGCCGCCGTCCGTCTATGACTTTGCTCTCCGCCTCGCCCGGGATGAAGGCTTGGTGCGCGGGCTGATGCAGCCCGGCGTCTCTGCTTGGATGGCGTCGATGGGCGTCGCCTTCAGGCCGACCGCTCGCACCGACCACCGCATCCCCGTCTCACCACTCAAATCGTCCCTTGAAATAGCTGCCGCATGGTGCTGTACGAGCCACTTCGCGACGCCATCGAGGGCGCCTCAGGCGTCTCTACGCCGGCGACCGCCTTTGCGGCGGGCCTCTCGACGGGTGCTCTCACAAACAGCCTCGCCTGCCCCTTCTTCAACGTCAAGGCGCTCCAGCAGTCCGCCCCTTCCTCCTCCTCCTCCCTCGCCGCGTCGCTGGCGTTGGTCAGCCGCTCCGCCGGATGGGCGGGCCACTACCGCGGCGTGTCCGCGCTCTTCGTCCGGTGAGTGCTGTCCATGGGGGCCATACACACATGCCTCGTCCGCCGCCCGCCGGATTCGCGCGCGTGACCGTATTCCCTGCCACCCCCTCCAGTGGCGGCGCCCTCTCCGCGGGCCAGCTTGGAGGCTACGACGCAGCGAAGGCGTGGCCGCCCTCGCCTCGGCCTTCGCCGCCTCCCCGCCACCCTCACTCCTCCTCCGCCCCTACCCAGCGCGCCGTCCGCGCCAACGGACTCGCCGAGGGCGCCGGCACACACGTGCTCTGCTCCCTCCTCGCCGCCGGCTGCGCCGCCGTGCTCTCCCTGCCGCCGGACATCGTCCTCAACAGGTACCAGGGCGCGCCCGCCGTCGGCGCGCACTACAGCAGCGTCGGCGACTGCGCCTCCCAGCTCGTGAGGAGGGAGGGGGTGCTGTCGCTCTGGCGCGGGCTCGGCCCGCAGTACGCCAAGCTGGCGCCCATCTTTTTGATGACGCTGCCGCTCTACGAACAGCTCCGCCGGCTGGCCGGGCTGGGGTACTTGCGCTAACGCCGCGAGCGAGCGGGACTTGTCATGTATGTATCGCCCCATCGTCCGTCGTCCGGGGCCCAGTCAGTGCCGCCCACCGATGATGGTTGGCGGCGCCGAGTGCAGCTGCCCGTCCTTCGGGCTCGAGCCCCGCAGCCCTGGCACAAGGAAAAATATTAGCAACACTGCATGCGGGAAAAAAATCCGGCTCGTGCGCATCTGAGCTCGCGATGTCCACCCGGCAGCGCCGCCGCTCGCACCGCCTCGCCCCGCCTCCACCGCCGCCCCCTCGCCAGACACGCCGCCGCCCGCCCGCCTCCTCGACCTCCCCAGCCGCGGCCGGCGCAGTGCGACGCCGTCGGCGCGGCGGAGGAGGGTGCGGAGGAGGCGGGCTCGCGGCGCGTCTGCGTGGGCAGCGGCAGCGGCGGCCTCGGCCCGCGCCTCGGCAAGGCGAGTCGGCGAGCGACGCCTTCACACGGAGCTGGATGCGCTACTCCTCAGGCGGCCTCGGCCTGCTGCTCGACGAAGAGAACCGTGTCGTCGGCCTGGCGGCGGGCGGGCAGGCGGAGCGGGAGGGCGTGGTGCGCGTCGGTGCGGCGGGCGGCGCCGGAGGCGTCCGCGACGCGTCCACGACGCGTCCACGACCCACGCCGCGCGGGCAATGGGCGAGGTCATCCTGGCGGTGGACGGGGAGAGGCTGCGCGGACGGCCGCTCGGTAGGGTGCTGCAGCGTGGCAAGCGAGTGTACACCCTCACCCTCGGTGGAGGGGGCGGCGGAGGGGGCGGAGGAGGCGGCGGAGGAGGCGGAGGGGGCGGCGGAGGCGGCGGCGGAGGCGGTAGCAGAGGCGGCGGCGGCGCAGATGGTGCGGGGGGCGGCGCGGCAAACAGCGCGGCGGGAGGCGCGGACGGCGTGGCGGCGGCGGCGGCGAAGAGGCGGCGGGAGGCGGAGGCGACTGCGGCGCCGCCCGTCGAGCCGGTCGCCGGTGCTGCTGCGCAGGGAGAGGGCGGCACGGCAGAGGGCGGCACGGCAGAGGGCGGCAAGGCTGCGCGCGTCGCCGGCGCGGAGCCAGAGTGGCGGCGGGATGCGGTGCCGTCCTCTGCCGAGGAGTTCCGCGCCCGGCACGGCTGCTTCACGCGCGGCGAGGTGCTGCGACCGCAGCACAGCCCGCCACCCGCGGGCGAGGCGGGCGGGGGCGCGGCGGGCGCGGCGGGCGCAGCGCAGGCGCACGGGCAGGAGGCGTGGGCCGAGTACTACCGGCAGCAGGCGGCGTGGGCAGCGTACCACCAGCACCAGGCGGCGTGGGCCGCGTACTATCAGCAGCAGGGCAGACCGCCGTGACGCATTTTGTTCTTTGCATATGAACAAATCACGGGCCTCTCACGACCTCGATCAACCTCGAGGGCTAGTAAAAAAGAAAAACGACGACCCTGAGGGACAGAAGCCGCGCTGGCACAAGCGGCGCTTCCTTCTCTTTGGCGAGCCTCAGATCGGCAAGACAGCGGCGCTCGTCCACTGCATCGCCGCCTTAGGTGCACGCGCGAGGCAAAGGGACGTGGACATCCTGCTCTCGGACGACGACAACGATGACTCCGATGAAGGCTGCGACGGCGCAGCGTCTACCAGTGGAGGCTATCCGGACGTCGACGCCCTCAAGAAAGTTCACTTCCAGCACGACAAGGCCAGCCCAGCCAACGGCGACTACGGCGACCCGGCGTGCGACGCAGTGTGGGAGCACTACCAGAACGGTGGGCGAGGGGACGAGCTGGATCCGGCGCTTAAAGTCCCAAGTGAGGGCAATCGCGGCATCAAAGAAAATCCGGGCAAACAGTCTGCAGGCGCAGCGCAGGCCACGCAGCAACCTGCCACCGCTCGCATGAGCCTTGTCCCATACCTCGACGGGCGCAAAGGCAAGGGTCCGCCCGCGCTTGAGCGGCCCGCGCCCGTGCAAATCAGCTTCCAGTCTGGCGAGTCAGGCTGGCTCTACATCTCGGCTGCTCAGGCCGCATGCTGGAAGCATCTTGACGGCATGGTGCGGCTTCAGATTCCGGACGATGATTTCTGCCAGCTGCCGATATTCATGCTGAGCTACAAGGCGGGCAGAGCTGCTCAGCTCTGCCTCGACAAGCAGTTTGTCGGCCGCTCGTACGTGCAGGTCGTCTGCATCTACCCGGCGTCGGTGATCGGCCAAGCGACGTTTGACCAGTACCTAACCCACCCAGACTTCGCCGACATCTCCTTCTTCTTGCATCCTGAGGTTGACTTTGACGAGCAGCTTCGTCTGCGAGCACCTCGCTCGGCGGCCAGTAGCTCGGAGGCAGGTGGCGACTACTTCTCCTCGGTCGGCCACTCGAGGTACTCTGCGCACCGATTTGCCGCTGCGGTTTGCTCGGGGACGCGGCATCGCTTCTATGTGATGCATGATGACAACGTTGCTGGGTGGAAACGCTTTAACCTCAGAGGCGGTACCTCGGTGAGCGCTTCTCTGTCCACGGTGCTGCGGTATTTCGAGACGGGCCTCGGTCTACTCGGCGACGACCCACAGCCTGGCATGCGCGACATTGCGATGTTCGGCTTCCACTCTTGGCAGGGAGCAACGCGGGACTCGCCGGCAAGTCTGCAGCGCCGCTCGCCCTTTCTTCGCAAGCATGTCATGAAGGTGCTCATCATTAATCTCGACTTGCTCGAGTCCTTTAACTTTAAGCGACAGATGCATGCCATGGAGGACCTCGACTTCAACTTGTTCATCAGCGGCAAGACGCGGCGGAGTGGAGGGGGCTCCGAATACGTCAGCCCTAATGCAGCAGCCACCACCAACATCATCTGCAAGTGCTCGGAGTTCGCCTACCTGCGCAGCTTTGGTGGCGGCGGCGTCCCGAAGCCTACCGCCGCCCCGAAATCTGTGACCCTGGTTCCTTGGGCCGACCTGAGCGATGAGCAAAAGAAGTTGCTCACGGGCAGCCTCGAATGCGAATCTTGGACGGACGAGTTCGACGCGCAGAAGCAGCAGTGGAGGACTCACGGCGTATCGCGGTCTCGTTTGGAGCAGCTTGGGGCGGATGCGCCAGCCGCCGCGGCGTCGCACCCAACAGCATCTGGCACGAGAGCGACCGGTCCCGCTCTTGCTCCCGCTTCGGGCGACTCGAAGGCCGACTCGAGTAGCGACGAGTCTGACAATCTGCCGCTGACAAAGCGCGCGCGAAGGTGAGCGCCACGATAACGTTGGCGGCAGGCCCATGCGCCCCGACGACCGCGAAAGGCAGGATCAGGGAAGGGCTACGGCGGCGGGGGGGGCAGGCACGACGGCAGAGGTGCTCTCGAGGTTCTCGAGATGCCTGTTGTACCGACGTACTTCGAGTATGTGTGTATGTGTGTGTGTGTGTGTGTGTGTGTGTGTGTGTGTGTGTGTGTGTGTGTGTGTGTGTGTGTGTGTGTGTGTGTGTGTGTGTGTGTGTGTGTGTGTGTGTGTGTGTGTGTGTGTGTGAGTGTGAGTGAAGGAGCGCCAGTGCGGTCCCTTTACAAATATTTCCTCCGAATGCGCCCAAAAAAGAAAGAAATCAAACTTGGCGTTTTTCTTCCCCGTACTTGGCTCTCTCCAGCCTCTATTCTCACTCCGCATCGTCCTCCGGCGGCAGCACCTCAACGGCAACACTACCGCCCTCGACACTAGAGACGCCGCCGTCGCCCGGCGGCCGGTTCATCGAGAGCCGCTCGTCGTTGAGCACGTCGAGGCCGGGCGCGAGCAGAGACGTGTACCGGTCGAAGTACAGGACCTGCTTGATGAGGAGCGCAAACTCGCGCGGGAAGCGGATCCCGTACCTGAGGGCAGACCGCGGTGGACTGAGGGGCGCAGACCAAAGGCTGCAAGAATGCAGTGCATCGCCAAAGCAGCTAGGATCCGGCACCCCTCGGCGACGCGCGCGACGGCAGCGACCGCGCGGTTCAGCTGCGTCTCGTCGATGGCGCTCGCGGCGGCGCCCGCGCTCGCGGTGGTCGCGATGTCGGCGGTCATGCTGTCAATCGAGGCGATGACCTCGCCGATGTCCTTTGCGAAGGCGGCGGACTGCTCTTCCGAGAGCTCCTTGGTGAAGCCCATCTTCTCGAGCGCGCGGCCGACGCCAGCCATGTCGCCCGCCGGGAAGGAGCGCACGAAGTCGAGCATCCCCTCCGCGGTGGCGGCGGGGATGGCGCCGACGATCCCAAAGTCGATGAAGGCGACCCGGCCTGCAGGGAAGCTCCGAGAAGGGTCCACACACACAGGCTTCACATAGTCCGCCGGTGAATCCGACGCGGCTCGAGGGACGAGAAGGAGGGCGAGAAGGAGTGGTCTCGTCCAAGAGTCGGCTCAATGCTCGGCTAGGGGCGAGTCTCCGCTACTCTCGGCCGTCGGTGAGGACGAGCAGGTTGCCGGCATGCACGTCTGCGTGGAACCACTCGTTGGTCAGCACGCTGCTCACCCACGTGTTTAGCGCGACGATGAGCGCCAGCTCAGGCTGCGGCTGGTACTTGCGCACCTGTTGCGTTCAGCACCCGCCACTCTGGCTCGGTGTCTCGCCACCTCCGGCCAAAGACTCGCGCACCGACTCGAGGTCGATGAGCGGCACTCCGTAGAGGCGCTCGAGCGTGAGCAGCCGCGAGGCGGAGGCGGCGCGGTACACCTTGGGCACGGTGACGACGCCGTCCAGCTCCGGCGAGCGAGCGAGGAACTCGGCGAACTGCTCCGTCCGCTGCGCCTGCGGGAGGGTCCTAGACGGTTCAGAGACGAGGGAGGAGTTCGGCGAGCTAGCTGCGTGCGCTGCGCCTCGAGCACGAAGTCGATCTCCTATTCATCCACACGTGAGGCGGGTCCTTCCGTGCTCGTCGCGTCTCGCTGCTGCCGCGAGCGCAGGTCTAGTCTCTCCTCGAGGATCGCCGAGCGAAGGGTCGCGACCACGTCCGAGAGCTCGGCGGTCACGACGCCTGCAGGGCGGCTCCGAGAGGTGTTCCTGGAGGGCAGGCGAGGGGCGTTCCTCCGAACCGCTAGTGCGGTCGCTGCGCCGAGGAGCTGCAGCACGCGCGCGTTCGCATAGAGCAGGTCGAGGTCCGCCTTGAGCGACCCTTGCACGCCCTTCTTCTGCACCTTGAGAACGACGTCCTCCCCGCTGAGCAGCCTGGCCGCGTGCACCTGAAGACGAGGAAGAAGAGAGGGGCGACGGAATGTGCTCGGGATCCCCGCCTTGCCACGCACGGGTCTTCGACCGCTAGCCCCGGCCAGTCGGATGAGCGGTGTGATAGGGCACTGTGCCGCGCTCCGGGCCGTGGCCAGCGGGGTGCACCTGCGCTATCGACGCGGCAGCCAGAGGCGTCTCGTCGACCGACGCGTAGACCTGGCCGATGGGACGGCCGAGCTCCGCCTCGACGATCTCCTTGACGTCGGACCTATGCGGAGGGCTCCGACGAACCTTCCTAGAAGAGACCCGACCTCCGCCTCTGCATGTGTGTATGCTCTGCTCTGCACCACGGCATCGGCGGCGTCGCGTCGAGGCATTTTTGGAACTCCTGCACGTACTCGGGCGGGAAGAGCGTCGGCGACGACGCAATGAACTGCCCGAGCTTGACGTACGTCGCACCAAGCTCCTCGCACATCCGCCGCAGGATCACGGGCGGCTCTGGCGCAGCTGCGGCCGAGGAAAGGCCCTGCACCGTCTCGGAGCCGACGACGCGGACCGCACGCGCAAGGTCGAGCGAGCGCCGGACGACGACCTGCGGGTCCTGCTCGAAGGCGAGCTCCAGCAGCTCCCGCTGCAGCTCGCGGGCCTCTGCGGAGCTGAGCCGCTTCAGCGTCTCGATCGGCGAGGGCAGGCTGAACGACGGCGCAGAAGAGGCGGCGAGGCGCGCCGCGGCCCGCGGTGCCGGCGGACGGCTGGTCGTGAGGAGGCTGAGCCCGAGCGCCAGGGAGAGCAGGGAGAGCATTGTCTGGTATAGCCCGAGGCTACTCGAGGGACAGCTGCTGGCAGCGAGGAGAGAAGCACAGGTCCAGCCCACCAGGAACTTTCGCGCGTGGAAAAAATAGTTGGCGTTCGCAGGTGTATTCTTTTTGTGCTTGTAGATTGCAGCGAGAATCAGCGAGAGACTGCGAAGAGAGATAGGAAGAGGCAGACTCCCTAGGGTGGGCGACGGATAGCGCACCACACACCTCTCCTTAAAATCCCTGTGTGGTGGCGGCGTGCCGTCCTCCCATCCCTCCCTTGGGTTGTCTGTTTTCTTTCTTTCTTTCTTTTGTGCTTGTGGGGCGGACAGCATGATACAAACAAATACCCTAGTTAAGGGAAACAAAAAGAAATCCGGATGCGGTGAAGGTTGAGTACTCTACCAACTAGAGTGACAGATCACCAAGAAATCACGAACGACTCTCACAGTGATTTGGGCTCGGCAGCTTGTTAGCCCTCAGCCGAAGCTGCTGGGGCCGGTCCCGTAGCCGAGAGAGCCCGCGCCGATGAGTTCGACGCGGTCGGGGGGGCCTGCGGAGAGGCCAGCGAGATGGCGATCGCTGTACTTCATGGGGGTCATCAAGTGACCGCGACTGACAAGCCAGAGGTCGATACTCTGGACGACCCATAGGATGCCACGAATGCCTGAAGGAGAGGGAGGCGAGGCCCGAGGCAGGCTCAGCTGCTCTCGAGTGATCCCGCTTTGGAGGCTGAAGGACCCGATGGTCCTGTCACATTCGCGTTCCGAGTCGTGGGGGTAGAAGAATTCGAGTAGAAATCGAGTCAGCACATCCTTGTAGTACAGCGGACCGCCAGGCTCGCCGGCAGCATCCGCAGGGAGGCAGCATATGAGGCACCAGTTTTCTGGAGAGCTCGTTGGTTAATAAAAATCTCTCTCAGATCACCCACTTGGGGAGGGTTGACATCGTGATTTCGGCGGAAAAAATTCTTTTTCTGCTGTGAAGATTCCGGCGCGAAGAGAGGGAAAAACCCGACGGGAGGGCCCAGACCTACCCTACCTACCCCGTCATGCTGTCCGCCCCAAACAAAAAAAAAGAATTACACCTGGCGTTCGAAGCATTTTTGGTTGGTTGCTGAGAGACTGCGAAACCCTCTCCTTAAAATCCCTGTGTGGTGGCGGCGTGCCGTCCTCCCATCCCTCCCTTGAGTTGTCTGTTTTCTTTCTTTCTTTCTTGCCCCCCCGGCCGGCGGACACGGAGTTCGGAGTTCAGCCGAGAGGCGAGAGAAGCCGCGCGAGCAAGGACCCCCACCGACAGGCACAGCCGGAAAAACTCTAAAAGTACAAGCAAAAGAAATCGGACTGCGGCTCTTTGTCTTGACGTTATCAAGACTCAGAACCAAAAGCTCACCGAGAAGGCCGCGGTGAGGCTCCTCACGTGGTGCCAGCAGCCCGCCGGGATGTACAGCCCGTCCCCCGGCCCGAGGACGGCCTCGAGGCCCGCGGCGCGCGCATAGTCGGGGAACCGCTCGAGGTCGGGCGCCTAGAGGCAAGAGTCGGGGCTCTCCCCCGCGAAGCGGCCTCTCCGCCGCATCGGGCAAGAGCCCCCGCGGGTTGCGCAAGGCCCACCCAAGGGCCCACACGATGCACACGCGGCGGGGGCGACTGCTGGCGTGGTTGCGTGTGGCGGGTGTGGCGGGCGCCTCGACGTCGACGGCGCTCACGTTGCCCTGCGCGTCGACGCCGCCGCCGCCCGCCTCCTTTGGGTAGAGCCACTTTGTCTGCTCGGCGGGGAAGAGGACGACCCGCTTGTAGCCGACCACCTGCGGCGGGAAGGTTCCAAGAAACGTCATGCGGGGGGAGGTCGGATCGGCGAGGCAGGGGTGGTGGTGTGTGTGTGTGTGTTTGGGGGAGGGGGGGGGGCGTCCGAAGCGGTGGGCTTGCGCGCTGGCGCGGAGAGCCTGGGTGAGCACGTTGTCGTACGAGTCGAAGTGGAGCGGCGTCACCGTCCCCTCCGGCCCGAGCCACGCGTTGGTGTGCCTGCGACAGCTCCCGGCGGGGGTCAGAGAAGGGTCACGGCAAGCTCCTGTGTGGCAGCCCTCCTCGCGTGTGCGCGCCGGACGGAGCCGCCGCCCGCCGTGCAGAGCTCCGGCACGCGAAAGTCACGCCGCAGCCGCGGGATCTGCTCAAAGAGCGGGTGCTGCGCAAGGTAGCCAGTCCGCGCCTCGCCGCCGCCCGCCGTCTATCCCGGAGGCGCGGGTCGGTGATGGTGGCGGCCGTGGCGAGGGTGGAGGCGGAGAGGGCGGCCGTGGTGGTGGTGGTGGTGGTGGTGGTGGGGTGGCGGTGGCGGTGAGGGAGTCAGTGGCGCGGGTGGTGGAGGGCAGTTGTGGTTGTACGGGTGGTGGCGAAGGGTGGCGGCGGCGAGGGGTGGCGGCGGCGAGCGCGCCACGTGCGCGTCGAGAAAATCGCGCAAGCTCATGACCTATTCGCAGCTGGTGGTGTGGAGGGGCATCGGTCACAGCGCTGAGAAGTCGCGCACGCTCAACACCCGCTCGCCCCACGCCGCCGCCCCTCCCCCGCCGGCCGCTCCGCCCCCGGCGAGCGAGCCAAGCTCGACAGGCACCAGCCGGCCCCCAAACTCGTCGCGCAGCCACGAAAAGTCGGCCCACCTGGGCTCACGGCGGCGCAGTGGGGCCAGGGGCGGCAGAGAAGACGAGATGAGACGAGATGAGACAAGGCGAGGTGAGGCGAGACGAGACGAGGCGAGACGAGAAGAGACGAGAAGAGGCGAGAAGAGACGGGGGCCGAGGGGACACTCCGACGGCCGGCCACTGAACCAGCACCTTTCACTGTGCGCCGCAAGGCGAGGAGGCCCCCGCCCCCCGCTGCCCACCCCTCTACCCCGAGGCGTCTGCTCTCTGTGCATCGACTCAGTCGGCACCGGCGCATCGCAGCCCACTCCGAGGCGACGCCGTCGATGAGCAGCGGCAGCCCGCGCCGCCGCAGCGCGCGGAAGGCGTCGCCTCGAGGAGGCGGCACCCTCTCGAGCCGTGAGCAGGACGGAGGCGCTGGCGGCCCGGAGGAGCCAACCGCCGCCGCCGCCGCAGCCGCCGCCGCCGCCGCCGCCGCCGCCGCTTCCACCGAGTGTAGCCCTCGTGAGGGCAGCGGCGGCTTGGGCTCTGCGCGCTGCGGCGTCGCCTCTTCCTCGAGGAGCTCAACGCAGTCGCGATGGAGCTGCGTCTCGCCGCCGACGATGAAGGCGCGGTCGAGGCTGCGCAGCGCGGCGGAGGCGTCGCCCGCGGCGTGCCGGCTCGCGCAGAGAAGAACCTGCGCGATGACATACGCCTCCCGCGACAAGGCCGCCCGCTGCGCACCGCCGCCGCCGCCGCTGCCGCCGCCGCCGCTGCCGCCGCCGCTGCTGCCGCTCTCCTCACTCAGAGCGACCCACGCGGAAGCCGACGCCCGCTCCGCCACCTCACGGCAGCGCTCCGTCGCAGGCGGATCGGCAGAGAGGTGGCCGGCAGCCTCGGAGAGCAGCAACGCCAGCGACGAGTCGCCGGCCGCCTCGAGGTCGGCGCACGTCGTGCGCGCATGCTGCGAGACGAAGCGCTGCACAAGAGGCAAGACCGGCGACGGCCGCGGCCGCTTTGGGCGGGTCGGCAACTCGCCGGAAGACAGCGCTGCTGGAGCTGCTGGAACCCCAAGGACGTCGAAAGGATCGCTCGCCGGACCTTCGAAGACGTCGAAGGGATCATCGGTGGAGGCGCTCATCGGTGGACACGCTCGACGAAGCCAAATCGCTGTGGGTTCCAACTTTTTGCGGGGTATGGTTCTCGTGCGAGGTGGATATCCTTTTTACCTACCTACCTATCCTTTGGCCGCGTTGGGTAGCGAGGATTGGTGTGACGCGATCCACGCAGGCGTGTTTTCTGGCGGCCGACCGTCAGTGCACGGAGTTGCCCCTTCTCCGACTGCCCCGGCTAGTTCCCCAGGATCGGGGTGTGTATGGTATGGTACGTCGGCCAACCCAGCTCAACTGCTCAAGACCATACCCCCCCGCCTGCTGGCAGACCTGCTTGGGGGTATGGGAGGGCTAGTCTTGGGCGGTCAGGACCATACTACCCCCACCCCTTTGGGCCGCCGAGCGTACCTCCATACAGTTCCGGACGGGCATTAAGAACGCACGGGTTCTTAGCCCAGCCTCAGGTTCTTAGCTAAGTTGGTGCTCCGTCCTGGGCCGAGCCTCAGGTTCTTAGCCGTGGGGGTCGTTCCGAGCCGTGTGGGTCTTGCTGGAGGCCGAGTAGGATAGGATAGGTCAGGACTGGACTGGACATGGGCGTGGACGTGGACATATGCACATGCACATCATGTATCATGTGCATGCACATGTGTTGGACTGTTGCGCGCTCGCTCTCATTGTTGTACAACATGGACATGGACATGGACATGGACATGGACATGGACATGGACATGGACATAGTGTGCGCCTCATGCCGATTCGCGAGGCGAGTGTTCGGCACTTGCTTGAGTTGTGTTGGAGGCCCCCAATATGTAAATAGATAGAGTGGGCGATGCACGAGCACCAGAGGCACAACAGCGCGCACCCCGCCCCGAGGCCGGGGTCACCGTCTTTCTTTTTCTCGAGGCCCCCTCCAATTCTTTTTCTCTGTATCGCGCTGAACATCCCGCGAGCGAGCGGTGGAGGCGGTGCGGACGGCGGCAGGTCGGCTTGGGTATTGTATGCGGCAGCCAAGCACGCTCGAGGCGTTCCGCTCTCTCCTCGCCGAGGCTGGCGACACGCCGGTTATCGTCGACTTCACTGCGTCGTGGTGCGGTCCTTGCCGGGCAATCGCTCCAACCTTCGAGCAGCTCGCGGGCGAGTTCCCGGCGGCCATCTTTTGCAAGGTGGATGTGGACGCGAACCAAGAGACCGCGGCCGAGTGCGGTGTCCGGGCGATGCCGACCTTCAAGGTGTTCCGCGGCGCGCGCGAGGTGCGCCACTGCACCCCCGGAAATGCTGGATGTGCCCTGTGTACCCGCTCCTCTCCGCGGCGCCGATGTACGTGTGCACCCCGTGCAGGTCGGCGCTCTCCAGGGCGCCAACCCGGCCGCGCTGCGCGCGCTCGTGCAGCAGCACGCCGCCGCCGCCGGCATCGACAAGGCCGCGTGCGACGCTGCGATCGCGGACGTGCTGCGGCGCAACTCGCCGCCCGCCGCGCGGACGGCGCTGAGCACGGTGCTCAAGCTGGTGGACAACGTCATCGCATCGCCCGCCGACCCCAAGTTCCGGCGCGTAATCAAGGGAGGTCGAGGTCATCAAGAGAGGTCCGCCGCCGCCTCTCACCCCGGGCCCGGCTCGCCTCAGGCGCGTCAAGGCGTCCAACGAGGCGGTCAAGCAGCGGATCGTCGCCGCGCACGGCATGCCGCTCCTCGCGGCGATCGGCTTCCGCGAAGAGGGCGAGAGCATGGTCCTACCGCCGGGAGTGGACGCGGTCGCTCTCGGCGACGCCCGACGCGCTCTCGCCCTCGCCCTCGCCTCGGCTCCGGCTCTGGCTGCGGCGGCCGGCCGGCACGAGCCCATAAGGCCGCACAAGACTCTTCCCCGGAGGCGTTCGGACTTCTCCTCGTAGGCGGCCGCAGCACCGCCCGCCGCGGTCGCTCCCGCCGCCTCGGTGGTCGCTCCCGCCGCCTCGGCGGTGCCGTCGGCTGTGCCGTCGGCTGCTTCCGCCGGTGACGGGGCAGGCGAGAGGGCGAGCGTTGCGCTGCGCGCGGTTGGGGGCTCCTCTCCCTCCGAGCCTTTGTCCGCGGGGCCTCTCCCCCGCAGGCATGCCGGTGCTGCTCTTATAGTCTTAACAATATAATTATGTTATTATTATTATTCCCCCCCCGCAGGCGAGCCGGTGGTGCTCTACGTGTACGACTTGTCGGGCGGCGCGGCGCGCGGCATGGCGCAGGCGCTCGCGAAGCAGCTGTGCGAGTCCGTCGAGCTTCGCCGCAAGCGTCCCCGAAGCTTCTCGGAAGCTTCCGCAGGCACTGCTCGGCATCGACGTGGAGATCATACCGCACACGGGCGGCGTCTTCGGGCGAGGGGAGCAGGCCTCACCCCCTGCGCCCCACTAAGGAAGCGAGGACAGCCTCTGCAGGGGTCGGCGTGTTTGGGCGCGAGTACTACTTCTCGGGAGGCGTGCAGCGGGAGCCGCTCGGCAACCCTTGCCGCCTTGCCGCGCTCTCGGGCCATGCCCAGGACATGTCCAGGACATGTCCGAGACACGTCGCTAGGCGCCTTTACCGCGCATTCGGGCTTGCCTGTCCACCAGACTCTCGAGCTGGGCCGCACCAGTTTGCCGCGCGAGGTTTGTGCTGGCGCGACTTGCGATCTCGGACAATCTCGGGGAGCCCCGGCGACGCTGACGTCGGGCGATCTCGGACAATCTCGGGGAGCCTCGGAGAGCCTCGGCGAACTTTGGAGCGTCTCCTCCCACGAGGTGTTCGACGAGTATTGCGACGAGGTTGGCGCGGCGCGCTTCTCCGCCGACGCGTACTCGCTGCTCGAGAACAACTGCAACCACTTCTCGAACGAGTGTGCGCAGTTCCTGCTGGGCGTCGGCACAGCGCGGCACACCGCCGACCTGCCAAGGGGCGGGCCCTTGCCTCCTGAGCCTGCGTCGGAGCCCTCGTGTGCAGGAATCCCGCAGCATATACTCGACTTGCCGAGAGCCGTGCTCGCGTCTCCGATGGGGCAGATGCTGCGCCCCCTCCTCGAGGCGAGTCCTGCGCGAGACTTGCGCGAGATCGCGCGAGATCTGCGCGAGATCTGCGCGAGATCACGCGAGATCTGCGCGAGATCTGCGCGAGATCTGCGCGAGATCTGCGCGAGATCGACCCCCCTCCCCTCCCCTCCCCCCCCTCCCACCACCCTGCAGGCGATGGGCCGCCCCCTCAACGCGTCGCTCGGCCACGGCGACGCCGCCGCAGCCGCCCCGCCGACACAGCCGAGCCCGCTGCCCCAGCCGCCCTACACCCCCCCGGCGGGTGTGCTGGCGGCGGTGCGGGCGGAGGAAGAGGCGGCGGCGGCGGCGAGGAGCGCAGCGGGGGCGGGGGCGGGGTCGACGGCGGCGCCGCCGGCCGCTTGCGCACACCGCTATGCGGTCAACACGCTGCAGGGAGAGACGGTGGAGGTTGCTGGGAGACCCCCTGCGGTCGAGACGGTCGGCTCGCTCACCTCGGCATTGCTCGCGCTGCGGCCGGTGCGCGGACGCCTCCGAGTCACTTCCCGCCGTCCGCCCGGCTCCACTGCAGCTCGCCCAAGCCCACCACTTGCGTCCCACACCCTCGCAGGGCTGGGCCGGGCGGCGCCTCAAGTTGCTCTGCCACGGAACGGTGCTCGCCACACCACACACACACACACACTCACACACACACACACACACACACACACACACACACACACACACACACACACACACACACACACACACACACACACACACACACACAGACACACACACAGACACAGACACAGACACACACACACACACACACACACACACACACACACACACATTTACACACACACACGGGCCCTTGCGCATCGAAAGCCGTGGGGCTCCTGCCTTCGCATGCGAGGGAGCATCCCCCCCCCCCCCCCTCCCCCCACGCGCGCGCCAGTGAGCGTGGAAGAGGGCCTCTGACTCGCTCGCCTCCCCGCAGGTGCTTGCGGACCCGAACCAGACGCTGGCGACGGTCGGGCTGGACGTCGGCGCGACGCTCGTGGCCTTCCTTCCGCCGCCGGCGCAGTGAGGGCTCTCGGGTCCGCGGCGCGCATTGAAGATATGGTTGCTTGGCCCTCCGAGTCCCCTCCGCCGGAGCCGGAAGGCGGGGAGGGGGAGGGGGGGCACTGATTGGGAGTGCCACACCTCCAGTGGTGTTGGGGAGCGCGAAAGCGGAGGATAGTTCAGGAGAAGATAGCAAGAAAGTCGATATCCGTTGTCAGGTGTGGAGCGCCGCGCGTGTCCCATACTTCCCGCTCCTCCCTCGCTCGCGTGCGTGCGCGATGTGCGCGTGTCCTGTGCGGTCCGTGCGGTCCGTGTCGGCACTGTCGCGTGTGTGCGCGGCATACGGCTCTTTATACACCTTACACGCCACTCTCGCCAGCTGGCAGCTGGGTTGTTGTGCGAGTATATGGGACAAAAGCGTCGAAAATGTCCCAAAAAAGCGTGTCTGAGTTTGTTGCAGCTCCGCAGCCTGCGCGCGCTGCCGGGACGCACCGCTCGCGCGTTCGGCACACTCAGTGGACCCCACCGAGTGTGCCGAACCAACAGGAGTGAGTAGGCTCGACGCCGTACTCGAGATGGAGCTGCAGAAAGTACGCCGCCGAGCGTGCCACCGACGGCGTCCCGGCGGCGGTGATGGAGTGTGAGACCTGAGGCTGCGGAGGTGACGCCTGAGGTACCGGCCCGTGCACAGCGACTCAGCCGGCGACCGCCACGGGCTCAGACGAGACTTGTCGACTCGTTACGGCTCAGCTTCACCGTGGTCATCGGGCGTCTGTCGCCGTCAGGACCACCCATACAGCTCGCGGGTTTGAGGTCGCAAGAGCCAAGATGGTGGCGTTTGGACATCCCAACCTTCACACAAGACAGCCTGTAGGTGATGGCGGGACGGCGCAGTGTTTGTGGCACTCGGCAGTAGGCACCCGCGGCACGGCCCCGCTGTCGGCTCTCGCGGGCTGCGGAACCGGCCCCAGAGGGAGCCGGTCCGGGCGAGTGTGGCAGCTCCTGCGCTAGTATGGGCACCCTCTATCATAGCACTACTGATACTGGTCATTAGAGCTGCCAGGGATAGCGTCAGGAGCCGGTAGGAGTCAAAACCTCTCATATTTGAGACATCGTGTCCCATATACTCGCACAACGACCCAGCTGCAGTTGCAGCTTGCACACAAGCTACGCCGCACACACGGCACAGGGATAAAGCTCCGTACAACAAACCCTTCACAGATCACACAGGCGAGGCGGATGGAGAAAGAAGTGCCGAGGAGGCCATGGTGGAGGGGAGGGACGGGAGGACGAAAGAAGGGCGAGGAGGAAGGACGAGCGGCCCGCACAGGCCGCGAGCAGACAGCGCCTGCTGGCCATTTCGAGACATTCGCAAAGAACGCTAGCTACATGGGAGGGCTTCGTGAAGGATGGATTGAAAAACATATTCGAACAAAGAAGAGGCGACGGGAGGAACCGGCAGAGGATGCAGTGACGTGACGCACACACACACACGACACACACACACACACACACACACACGACACACACACACACACACACACACACACACACACACACACACACACACACACACACACACACCACACACACACACACACACACACACACACACACACACACACACACACACACACACACACACCACACACACACCACACACACACACACACACACACACACACACACACACACACACACACACACACACACCGCTCACCCACGCGCAACGGGCCTTGCACTTTGAATGCCGTGGGGCTCCTGAGTCCTGTCGTTAGACCATAGACGTGGAGACGCGAGGGTTGCCCCCCCTTGCCCCACCACCTCGTGTGTGTCTGTGTGGAGAAGTTTACCTTACCTTACCTTACCTTACCCTTCACACAATCTACCTCACAACCGAGAACCGTGGTGGCTGCTGCTCGTCTCACCCCGGGGGACGGGTGCTGCTGGCCACACACTAGCTAGCTCTACGCGCCCGGCCAAGGTGGATGGTGGGGCCCAATCAAGGGGCGGGCGCGTGGCGGCGTGGGTTGTGGCATCCTCATACGAGGTGCGCAAAGTCGCCCTCGAACTCCTCGCGGTCGCGCTTGCGCGCCGCGCCCCCCTCCCCGTAGGAGTTGAGCCGGAGCTGGGCGCGCTCGAGCCAGCTGTAGAAGAGGGGGCGGCAGCGCTTGTACGCGACCGCCTCGTCGATCACGCCGTCCCAGAGCTGCTGCGCGCGCATCTTTGCGGGCGGGAGGCGGATCACCTGCGAGGCGGGGCGAGAGGTGAAGGCTGTATACTCCACGCGCCGGCGGGCGGGGCAACGAGGCCCGGGGTGCGAGCGGGCGAGGTGTGTGTGTGCGTGTGCGTGTGCGTGCGTGTGCGTGCGTGTGTGTGTGTGTGTGTGTGTGTGTGTGTGTGTGTGTGTGTGTGCGTGTGTGTGCGTGCGTGTGTGTGTGTGTGTGTGTGTGTGTGTGCGTGTGTGTGTGCGTGTGTGTGTGTGTGTGTGTGTGTGTGTGTGTGTGTGCGTGTGTGTGTGTGTGTGTGTGTGTGTGTGTGTGTGTGTGTGTGTGTGTGTGTGTGTGTGTGTGTGGCACAAGTAGAGTCCGCGACCTCAG